GGGGCACACAGACCGCGGCCAACGCCCCCGCTGCAGCGGGGCCCTGAGGGGGGCGACCAAGGCCCCCCAAAGCCCGACAATGGGACAAAGGAGCATCTCTAGCAGCCGCACAGGGTGGGTGCCACCGTGGCCCCCCCGGCCGACCGCGGCGCTGATTGGTCCCTGGGGCGGGGGTCACGTGTCCCATCCTGCTCTCCACCGCCGACTTTGGGGCGCCTCCCCAGAACTGCTGCCAGGCTGAACCCCCACCTCGGCCTCAGATGGCGAATTCTAGGCCTGCGACAGCTCTGAGGTCAGGAGGGACTCACGGATCCCAGTTTTTCTCGGCTAGGGGTCTGTCACCCCCACCTGAGGTCTGTGTCACCCCCGCCTGAGGTCTGTTCTGTGTCATCAACGTTTGCTGTCTCTGTGTGTCCCCATGAGGTCCGTGTGCCTGCTCCCGCAGGTCTGTGTCACTGAGCTTCCCAGGTCGCTGTCACTCTGCCTGAGGTCTGTGTGTGTTTCATCCCCACCTGAGATCTGTGTCGTTCCCCCACCCAGGTCTCTGCCCCCTCCCCAGCCCCCGGTGCCTGAGCTCTGTGTCGCCCCCCCCCCCAGGTTCTGTCACCTGCCTGAGGTCTGTGTCACCCCCAGATTCTTTTAGCCTCTGGACACCCCCACCCCAAGCTGAGTGTAACCGAGTTGGGAACCCCAATATTGCAGCCCAGCAAGCTCTGGACTGGAGGATGCTCCGAGGACAGATGACTGGAGGGCCTGGCCAGGCGGCTTCTGCCTGGTTCCCTTTCTCAGCCCCTGGCAGGTTTTCAGGGTGCACGATTGCTTTCAGGTTATTGAGAAGTTAGAGGTGGGGAGGTCTGGGGTTCAAGGCCTGGACCTGGGAGGGCCTGATGCCACCTGGCCTACTGTCTGGCAGAGTGGAGGTCACTGTTCTCTGCTGGGGAGCCTCAGACTGAGTAGCTGGCAGCCTGGGAGCCAAAAGGAAGTGGGGAAATTGAGGCCCTGAATGCCCACTGGGACTGCCTTGTTCTGTGGGGCCCTGGGTTTCTCGGGCAGCAAGTGAGGGAGCCGCTCTCTCTATTCACTGGAAACCAAGCACTCTCAAGTACCCCTCTTCCGAGGTGGCCCTGGATGTCTTGGGCCCTGGAGGGAAGTCGGTTTGAACTTTTAGCTTTGCTGTGTGTCCTGGGCTAGGAGGTCAATCTCTGAGCGCCCTCTGGTGCGACCAGCTCTGCCTGCTTCTTCCCCCACTGCGTTTCCCGAGGCCTCAGATCCTCTGGGGCTTCCAGTCCTCCCCCCCCCCCCCCCCCCCCCCCCCCACCCCGACCCCGTCCATCTGTCTGTCTGTGGCAGAGGGCAGGCAGGTGGCTGCCCTCGGAAGAGGTGACGTCAAACTGCGGACAGGTGAGCCTGAAGGAAAGGTGACCGTCGCCTCCAGGGAAGGCTGGTGTCCCGAGCTGACCCTGGGTGTGGCCCTGGAAGGGCAGCTGGGCGGTCTGGGCTGGGGAGTGGGAGAACTTCCAGGGTGCCTGAACTTTGTGAAGGGGGAGCGTCATTCCCGGGGCCACGCGGGATTGTTAAGAGACAGGGGACATGGGGAGATCTCAGGGTCGCTGGGAACCGAGGGCTGACCGTGGTGGGTGGGTGACTCTTAACTCAGGTGAGATGCAGGCTGGGCTGGCTGAAGACCTCATTTCCCAGGATGCACTTGGCTCAGCCCCAAGGAACTTTCTTCTAGAGGTACCTTGAATGATTAGAGAAGTCATTCAGTCAGTCAACAAACATTCCCAGTGGCCCCTGTGTACTGTGGTCATTGTCTTGCCCAGACAACCACCCCAGCTTTTCTGTTTGTTCCTTAGAACTCTTCCAGACCATGAGAGGGGAAACTGAGGCAGATACTGGCTCACTCTACTGTGTGCAGTTGGAGCTGGAGTGGAGGGGGCAACTGAAGCTAGGGAAAGTTGAATTCTGCATTGTGGATCAGGGAAGGTGCATGGAAAAGGGCCTTGCAGCAGGGGCTGTGCCGGCTGTTGTGGAAGTCCGGCGGGAGGTTGTCACACTAGAGGCAGCAGAGATCCCTTCCCAGGATGTGGCCCTCAACCCTCTGACAGTGCAGAGGCCCAGGGCGGGAAACACAGCTGTGGACAGGCCCCTGGGCAGGGGACAGAGGGCCATGCTAAGTCCCAGGGCAGGGGTCGCTGCTGTAGAAGGGAATCAGTTGCATGATGCATTCTGGTGTGATGGGGGAGGACCTCTGTGACTGGGGGGAGGGAGAAGGGAGCTGGATAGATGGCGCAGGCTGCAGGGAGTACGGACAGACATTGGGGATTCCAGAAACTGGGCACATCTTCACCCCTAGGTAGGTCCTCGTGGGCAGTAGTTGTGGCTGTTCAATCTTGGACTCCTTCTGCCCACTCTGGGCTTTAGTCTTCTCCCAGGTGAAAAGTTCAGGTAATTCCTATTCCAGGAACTGAGGCAGACATTCTCTGACACACCACCACAGGGCTCTAAACACAGTAGGTCTCCAGATGTGAGCTGGGAACATAGTGAGTGCTCCATCATGTGATCCCTGAACACAGTAGGTCTCCAGATGTGAGCTGGGAACACAGTAGGTGCTCTATCATGTGATCCCTGAACACAGTAGGTCTCCACATGTGAGCTGGGAGCGCAGTGGGTGCTCCATCATGTGATCCTGAATACAGTGTGTACTCCATCATGTGAGTTCCAAACATAGTAGGTCTCCAGATGTGAGCTAGGAACACAGTAGGTCTCCATAAGTGTTTGTGTAGACCCCTTCAGTGGGTCTGGCTCCCAGGTGCTGGGAAGACGCAAAGCTGGGACTGGGGTGCTATGGTCCTGGGGTCATCCTGGAGTGACCCTGGCTTTGACTCCCACCATGGGCGGTCACTTGGGGCCTGTGGTCCACTTTGACCCCAGGGTCTTCCCCAGCAAGACCCATTTCTGCCTGTCTTCCTCACTTCCTGTTCCCAGCAGTCCTTGCGAGGCCCTGGAGCCTGTCCCTGCGCTTATCTCAGGTGTCCATCGGGAGTGGACTCACAGGTTCCCTCCTCTGCTCTCAACCCCACTGTCCACTGGGCTGTGCCACGTGACCTAGGCCGTGTGACCTAGGCCAAGTGATGCAGCCTCCCTGAGCTCTGGGGTCACACTTCTGAGGGGTCGTTTATTTGCATGTCGTTTATTGACCACTTTCTGTATACCCGTCATGTGCCAAGGCCTGGGCATATGTGATTCGGATCATGGCTGTATCTTTGACCGTGCTGGTATAGAGTCGGTGCTCAGAAAGTTCAGTGTGAGCTTGCCCTTGCCAATCCTTCTCAGGGCACTGATTCACCTGGTATGCTGACTTCGTGTTGTGGGGACACAGCAGTGGCTGCCAGACCAGCCCTCACTTCCCAGAGGGAGGACACAGCAAGCTCTGACACCCTTATAGTTAAGCAACCATTGTGCACCACTCATATACACTTGGATAGCTTACTGGATACCGTGTCGGGCCATCAGGAAACTGAGGCTGCCATATTGAGGAGTCGAGAAACGGGTTCAAATTGAGGGGATGAGGTTGAGTCCCCTCCTCTGCCTTTGCTAAGTGGGGCATGAAGCAGCTGGGGGTGGCTGTAAGGAGAGCCAGTAACCCAGTAACCGGACCAGGCCAGCTCTGGCTGCTGCCAGTCACCCGATCCCCCTGGGGAAGCCAGTGCCACTGGGGAAGCAGGAGGCAGGGGATTGCCTACAGTTGAGGGTCTGTCAGAGTCACAGCCAGGTGAGGGGCAGAGTCTGAAAGCCCAACTGTTACTTGCTTGGTGGTCATGAGGAATGGGGAGGCAGGAAGGTGGGGGGACCCTTCCACATCATCCCAGTCCCCCTGAAATCAAGAGGGACTGAATTTAGAACTTGCTTATGGAGATGCAGGGGTGAGGGGATGAGGAGTTTGGGGTGGTGGGTGAGGAGGTGTAAGGTGAACTGAGGGAGGGGGATGGGGTGAGTGGGATTGGGGGGTTGGGTGAGGGTGGGGACGAGGAGTTGGGTTGGGGGTCAGCCAGAGACTTCCACCAACTGGAGGTGTTCTGCCCCCAGGCTCAATTGTGACATCTGGGACATTTGCGGTTGTGTCTCTGAAGGCAGAGTCCGGGAAGTGAAGGTCCTTGGCCTCTGGCTGGGCCTGCCCATCCCACGTGCCGGGCCTCAGTTTCCTCACACAGCCAGTGAGATTGGGCTGTCACATGAACCGGAGTCCCTGGAAGCCATGTGGGGGAGGCACGCAGGCAGGTGCCGGGGGTGGGGGTGCACCCAGGGACACATTTGAAACGTGTGGGTGGTCACTCACACTAGGACAGGTTTGGCGATGGGGTGACCGTGGGTTATGTCAGGGGACTGGGGACACTGAGGCAGCAGGGCACAGCTCTCCGTGGTGGTCATGTATTTACACACAGTGATTATTGAGTGCCAAAGATATACCTGACCGTAGGAGAGTAGTGTGGGCACCTAGGGGGTTCAGCCTATGTATGGAGCAGTGGGGAGGGGGCACAGAGAGGGAGGAGGGAGGATGGGGCTGGGGACAGTGGGCTGAGGTCTGAGGGAGGTGGTGGGAGCCTAGAGGAGCTAGACCCACAGTGTCCTTCGCTCCTGTGTGCTGAAGAACTTCATGGATGAGTGGAAAATGTGTGGGTGACCCTGAGCTGAGTGGAGCGGGGAGGGGCATCCTGGATGGTGTGGAAGGGCCTTGGGGTGCAAGGAGGCTGCAGCGTGTCAGAGAATGGTTGGAACCCCAATTCAATAGTGTTGCCTTAAAGACCCAGATTCAGGGCTGAGGAGTGGATCTCAGGGAGGTTGAGGCCAGCCTGGTCTACATAGTAAGAACCAGTCTCAAAAAAAAAATTGTTTAATATTCCATCTTATTCTGGGGGACAGGGACTTTTGCTAAAAATAGAGCTCCCCAATGCGACTCCTGTGGTTGTGTTCCCTGAACTCTGAGTCCAGAGCTACAGAATCAGACCTAGAATCCCCCAGTGAGGGGCTGGAGGCGTGGCCAGGGTGGGGCCCCGCCTAGAATCCCCAGTGAGGGACTGGGGCAGTCTGCAGGCTGAGGTCATGGTGGGCGGGTAAGTAGAGGGGGGCAGCGCAGGGAGGAGCCCTGTAGGAAGCTCATGAGGAAGTAGACCCGTGTCTGAGGACGTGCATCCTCTGAGTCACAAATCCTGGAAGCCAGGGTCAGGGAGAGGAAGCCACGCAAGGTCTTCCTGTTTTTTGGCCCTGAACGTTAGAGCCCTGTGTTCTGGGACTGATGTTCCCTCCATCGCCCCCACCTACTGGGGCTCCAGATCCCCAAGACACACGATCGTGGGGGGAGGGAGGGCTGGGAGAAATCTCTGCTGCCTGGATGAGGAAACTGAGGCCCAGAGTTGGTTGAAGATTGATGAAGCTGCTGAGAGTCCCATGAGGGGTGCCTGGGACCTGAACTGCACCCCTTTCTGGTAGGGAGGTGCCGCCATGCCCCGGGATCCCCAGTTTTGGAGGGCTGGGGTCCCTTGTGTGAACTCACATACCTCAGGATTCCTCAGTTATGGATGAGAGCAAGAGGAATCGGCAAGAGGAAAGTCAAGTTCACCAGGGACACCAGGTCCTGTCTTGTGGGATGTTCCGGACCCCATTGCTTATGCTGTGGTTTATAAAGCACCGTGGGCTTTTAATTCTCTTATGGTTTGTTCAGCCTTTGCCTTTAAAAATCATGTCCCTCTTTATTTTAATTTTGTGGCGATTTGGTTTTATCATGGGGTTTTGCTGTTAAGCCCAGGCTGGCCTAGACCTAATAATGATGCTCCTGCCTCAGCCTCCCCGGGGTTGATATGACAGGCCTGCGCAACGACGCCAGGCTCTAAGCCTTTTCGTGTTTTAATTTGAATGATATTTTTAAATGCTTTTTGAAATTGGATTCTAAAGCGCATGTTTTAAGATAATATCCATTATTGTAATTCTCGTGATTAATTTTTAATTACCTAATGCATTTTCGTTTGCAGCTATTTCCTGAGATTTTTACTCACATGTGGTCGTAAAGTCGCTTGTTAATTAAACAACGTCTGAGCGTCGTTATTATTATCAATGTTTTTACTTTTAGTCTGAGAGGAAGGGGCTCGCGCGCCCCCTGCCGGCTGCTGTTGGAACTGCAGACCGCGCCACTCACCCCAGTCCTGACTTGCAGGTGTCACCTGCGGCCACCTGGTCCTCGCCATGCGGACCCCGCGAGCGCCTCCTCCCCGCCCAGCCTTGCTGCTGCTCCTGCTGCTGCTCCTGGGGGTCGCTCAAGGTCTCTTCCCGGAAGAACCACCTCCACTCAGCGTGGCCCCCAGGGACTGTGAGTAGGAAATCGACGGGTGGGGAGTGTCGGGGTCCCAGGTGGGCGGGATCTTGTTTCCAAGTGCGTCCTCCTTTCACGCCCTCCCCTAGACCTGAGCCACTACCCCGTGTTCGTGGGCAGCGGGCCTGGTCGTCTGACCCCTGCGGAGGGTGCCGAGGACCTCAACATCCAGCGGGTGCTACGCGTTAACAGGACACTGTTCATCGGGGACAGGTATGCAAGTGTTTGGGACTCTACGACAGCACAGTTGAGGGGCTGCGTGATGGGCTTGTTACCTGACTGGAATGCGCGACCTGTGGTTGGTGCTGAATGCTGAGTTTCAAGGGTGCTGAACTGAGTTGTAAGACTATTGAGCACTGAGTTTAAGGATGCTGAATGCTGGGTGGTTTTGCTTGTTTGAGATGGGGTTTCTCTGGGTAGCCCTGGCTGTCCTGGAACTCACAGAGATCTGCCTGCCTCTAACTCTTGAGTGCTGGGATAAAAGGCGTGCGTCACCATCACCCGGTTTATTTTACTTTGTGCTTGTGTCTGTGTGACATACGTGATGTGTGACATACGTGATGTGTTTATGTAAAGGTGCACGGGTGCCGAGGACGACCTGTGGGGGCGGGTCTCTTCCCCTCCGCTCTGGGGCCACCGGTTGGCTTTGCAGCCTGTGACTTTACCTCCTGAGGGTACAGAGTGCTGTCTGAAGGGCACTTGGGCCTGAGCCTGAGATTTTTGTTTGGTTTTGTTGTTGCTGTCATTTTTTAAGACAGGGTTTCTCTGTGTACTCCTGTCTGTTCTGGAACTCGTTCTGTAGGCTGGCCTCGAACTCACAGAGATCACTTGCCTTAAGTCTGAGCTCTTTTTTTTAAATTAATTATTAATTTTGGTTTTTCAAGACAGGGTTTTTCTGTAGCTTTGGAACCTGTCATGGAACTAGCTCTTGTAGACTAGGCAAACCTCGAACTCACAGAGACCTGTCTGCCTCTGCCTCCCAAGTGCTGGAATTAAAGGTGTGTGCCACCACCGCCCAGCTACTTATTTTTATTTTATGTGCATTGGTGTTTTGCCTGCATGTGATGGTGTCAGGTCCCCTGGAACTGGAGCTACAGACAGTTGTGAGCTGCCATGTGGGTGCTGGGAATTGAACTCAGGTCCTCTGGAAGAGCAGCTAGTGCTCTTGACCACTGAGGCATCTCTCCAGACCCTTAAGTCTGAGTTTTAAGGGCATTGAATTCTGCATTAGAGCCTACAGTTGACCTGGGTATTACAGTTGGGGACAATATCTGGGCACAATTTACTGGGTGCCTAGAGAGAGCGATAGAAGGGCTTGGCAGAGGGAGTGACAGGCTGCGGGCTAAGGAGTGGACTCGGGGCTCACAGTCGCCTCCTGGTGGCAGGTTGGCACTGAGCCCTGGATGTGAGCAAGCTGTTAGGATTAGAGGCTGGAGGAGGTGGCACGTGCTGGGGGTGAGAAAGGGGTGGATATGGCATAGATTTCAAAGGCAGAAACAGCAAATCGGGCCAGGGACGGCGTGGGTGCCGAATGGGCACCATATGTATTGTGGTAGGACTGACGGTGGTGGGGTCCCCCAACCTCACAGACCGTGCTCTTCCTATAGAGACAACCTGTACCAGGTAGAGCTGGAACCGTCCACATCCACAGAGCTGCGGTACCAGAGGGTGAGGAAGGCGCCAGCCAGTCCCGGGGCTCCAAGAGGGAAGGTGGAACTCGGCTGAGAGGAGGGATCCGAGGGATGCTGAGGACCACACTCACCTCACCCCACTTTCTTTGTGTCGGCAGAAGCTGACCTGGCGCTCCAATCCCAGTGACATCAATGTGTGTCGGATGAAGGGCAAGCAAGAGGTTAGAGGGACCTGGTACTGCCGTGGCCTAGCCCACCCTTTACCCCCCTACCCCCCGGCCAGTCTCAGGGAGGTTCTTCCCACCTCGTGATGGTTTCCCTGAAGGCAGGAAGTTTCAGTTGTCTCTCCCCATCTACCCAGGACATACCCAACCCCCTTCATCCCATCATGTAACCCCATACCTTAGGTCAGCCTCAGCTGACTTCCCAGCTCAAGCCGTGTTCACAGGGACTGGACGACACCCTTAATGTCCCCTTCCTCCCTCTCCACCCCAGGGCGAGTGTCGAAACTTCGTCAAGGTGCTCCTGCTTCGTGACGAGTCCACGCTCTTCGTGTGTGGCTCCAATGCATTTAACCCCATCTGCGCCAATTACAGTGTGAGTCTCAGCCCTTCCGAGCCCCTAAGGGGTCTGCTTCACCTCCATCTGCCCAGTGTTTCCTCCCAGCCACATGTACCCTTATGCTAGGCCTGCCGGGATTTTTCCCCTTTTCCTGCAAGACTGACTACAATAGGCTCGGGCCCGTTCACATACCATAGGAATGTGAATAGTTTCATAGGAAACTAAGGCCCAGAGAGGTTAACTGACTGGCCAATGTCACACAGTAATGCAGGATGAAGTGAGGGTTTTTCTGGAGTTGGGGAGTGGGGGAAGCCAGGAGCTGCCAGGCAGAGTGAGAGCCATTGCTCAGACTCCATCCTCCATGCAGATGGACACGCTGCAGCCTCTCGGGGACAACATCAGCGGCATGGCCCGCTGCCCCTACGACCCCAAGCATGCCAATGTCGCCCTCTTCTCAGGTGAGCAATTCCTGCGTTGGCCCATTCATCCTAAAGTCTTGGTCACTCGGAGGCAGCTGGGAAATGGACAGACAGACTCTAGACACAGTCAGAGTCAAGGTCAGGATGGTGGCTAGGCTGAGCATAGAGGAAGAGATTGAACCTGGGACCAAGACTCAGCCTGGGATCGTGATGGGTTCCAGGTTCAGTCTGGTCCCAGGCTTTTTGGGGGGGGGTCTCTTTTTTTCCCCCCCCCCCGCCCCCCTGGGCCTTTTCTTCTTCTTCTTCTTCTTCTTCTTCTTCTTCTTCTTCTTCTTCTTCTTCTTCTCCTTCTCCTTCTCCTTCTCCTTCTCCTCCTTCTCCTCCTCCTCCTCCTCCTTCTCCTCCTCCTCCTCCTCCTCCTCTTCTTCCTCCTCCTCTTCCTCCTCCTTCTTCCTTCTCCTTCTCCTCCTCCTCCTCCCCTCCTCCTCCTTCTTCCTTCTCCTTCTCCTCCTCCTCCTTCTCCTCCTTGTTTTTCGAGACAGTGGCTCACCGTGTAGCCCTGACTGGCCTGGAACTTGCTCTGTAGACCAGGCTAGCCCTGATCTCAGATTCACCTGCCTCTGGCTCCCGTGTGCTGGGATTCAGGAGTGTGCCACCATGCCTGGCTTCTCTCTGGTCCTTCTCAGTCTAACCCCCTATCTGCTCCTCTCATACTTGGTCCCCAGATGGAATGCTCTTCACAGCCACGGTGACTGACTTCTTAGCCATCGATGCTGTCATCTACCGCAGCCTCGGGGACCGGCCCACCCTGCGCACAGTGAAGCATGACTCCAAGTGGTTTAAAGGTGAGACCCTTGAGAACAGAGTGTGAGCTGTAGCTGTGACATTTACCTGACATTCCCAAACAAGGAAAAGCCCCGGAGGAGATCAGGAGCAGAGGGACTGGGATCTCCGTTTTGGAATCTGTTGATCTTTTTAAAGATGAGACTAGATGAAGATTTTGATGTAAAGCAGAACATGCTAGAAGCGGGTGACTGAGGAACCTCGAGGAAGGACAGGAGAGCAGACCCTGGGGCCTCGTTCTCCACCAAATAGAGAGGACATAGGTCATAAAACAGCATAGTTAGCTTAGGGAGCATAGACACAGTGGTTTTGTTATGACCCCACTCACCCAAAAAGAGTTAAAGTAAAGTCATTTTGACTAAGTGGCAATTCTAAGCCCCCTCTTCATAATAAAAGGCTCAGCTCACAGTTTGCGCTGGTGACATTCTGAGCCCCAGAGCCCCTTCCTGACGACTCAGGCTGGACCCCGATTCTTCTCCACAGAGCCCTACTTTGTACATGCGGTGGAATGGGGAAGTCATGTCTATTTCTTCTTCCGAGAAATCGCCATGGAGTTTAACTACCTGGAAAAGGTGACAAAACTACCCTTGGGATGACTGGGCAGGGGGACACTGAGTTGAGAAGCTCACATCAGGGAAGGTGGACAGGAGTTCTAACCATGGAATCCATCTGGGTCGGAGGGCCCAGTCTTTATAGTGTCCCCCCAGCAAGGCCCAAACCTCTGATGCTGGAAGACATTTAGCGAGTAACTGTAGAGTTTGAAATCTTTGTAGAGAGAAGTGGTGGAGATACTGGTGTCATCTGACCCCACAGCTCCGGCTGCCTCCATCCCTCAACACTCTGTCTGTCTCACTGACACAAGATCACAGACCATACTATCTATTCTTCAGTCCTTCAAGGAAGCATTAACCTGAGTTGGCTACAATCCATCGACCCACCCACCCATCTACCCATCCACCCACCCGCCCATCCACCCACCCATCTACCCATCCACCCATCCA